AAAAAATTGTTTTTTAATAATATTTTTACATATTCATGTACATATTTGAAATACAGAGACCCAATTAATAGTTATTAATAAAGAAGTTTTTTTCTATCTACATTTGTTGTAGCAATAGTTATATATTAGGGGGTGCTGGGGGGCAACTTCCCTATGGATTTGTGAATGTTATTACCATAAAYGTTTGCACCCACATAAGTTTCTACCAAGTGCCGCCTATGCTTGGAGACATTTCAGTATTTGATGACAGAAACAAAAATTTCAATAATAATCGTGCTGACACGCTGTAAATTCAAACATTTCAAACTATAAGTACTTTAGTGCAAACAATTATTTGTAAAATAGTGGCCATAAACCACAAGTAAGAGTTTGAAATTTAATTCATGAACACCATTACTGACAAATTGTTTCAAAGTTGGCTACGCACACATCCGATACTCCACTACCGAGCTGAAACTTATAAGTTATACTACCGAGTATGAATGGTATACTCACTCGTTATTAACGTCAGGTGTGTATTCATCAGACGAATCAGAAATTTGATCGTCCATCGTTCAGTTGCAGGTATCTCGTTTGAAGCAGGAATTAGAGTTATCGATTGACCGTTTGGATTGACACGAAGCTTAAGACGACGAAGGCAGTCTTTTAATATGTTGAGCTGAGAAATTGACAAAAACGAATAAACGCGATTAAAATTTGTAGGCAGTTAAATCTAACATCATTCTGAAATATTAGAATTTAAAACCTCAATAAAAATAATATAAAAAAATATTATTATTATGTAAATAATAACACATTATGCGTTCGAGCGTCCGCGCTTTCTCGCATGTGAGATAATGATAACACGACATTTTGTAGGTTATGGCAGATCCGGCGAAAATAAAAAAACAAATTTGATAAAAAACATCGATAGTCAATAAATGAATAAAATATACAAATTTCAGACTACAACAAAAATGTACGAGTTCCCCTTTGATTGTGATCTGTATTGGAAATTTTATGAAATGCGCAAAGATTTTTGATATTTTTCGACCGATTCCTTATCAATGGACAATGGTACACGGACAATTATTGGTCACCGGCTCACCGCAAACAAAATGAGTTGATATGGGTACCTATGCTCACGCCGCTCACGGCGCTCACGATCTTAAATACTATGCTCAATGCTCATAAAACTATTAAATCACTTAATGTGTAAAAATATGCACTATAAACTTTTAATTTTTTCGTAGTRCCATGAAAATAATTTCAAACTTACTTAGAAATAAATTTAATATCCTTAAAAAAAAYTTGAAAATGCAATAAATTCCGAGTGCTATAAGATTTTATCATAGTTAGCTAATATATTTGTATTTTCTGTTATTAACATTTTTAGATTCTGAACGAAGTGATGAATGTATTGATTTTACAATGATGTGTGT